TGAAATCAGAGATTTGGATTGTGAATATCAAATATTTAAGGGGCAGAGTCCTGTCACTGAAACCTGGATTACACACTGGGATCCTCTTAAGAGATCTTTGACCACAGCTATAATTCCCTGTTACACTTTAGTATGAATTTTTATCTTGACACTCAATGCACAGTGTACGCCCCCCATGCCCACCAGACTATTAGATGCACAGTGCAGAGAAGTGGTGGTAAACTGCCATGAAGAATGATGGTCCTTAAAATAATGTGTGATGAGTACTGCAGATAAGATAGACCAGGGGAAGAGGGACAGAGTTAAAAATTGATGTTTTATATAATGAATCAGTCGTACAGACCATTCTATGATTTTATTAGGGCAATTAAGTCTCAAAATTTCTTCATGAAATAAGCAGCAAGAGAATATTTTGGATGTCAGTGTTAACACAGCCTTGACTGCCTCACAAAGTCTTTAAAAACTGAGCCATTTGTAGAAAAAGAAAGAAGACCCATTTGAGCTGATTAGACCCTTGTGCCCTGATTCACTGCTGAGAACAGATTCCCTTGTTAGGGATGAGATTTGTCTGCTGTTGGGGGAATAGCTACTGAGTCCGCCTTGGAGCTACTGAAAGAAATCACACAATAGCTGAGTTAAATTACATCTGCTGGGAGCCTACTAGCTACATTCATGACAGCAATGATTGCAGAAAACTTTCAAGTGGTTTTTAAAACAAAAATGTAATTACAAATTAACACAGGTTGTGACAAATGTGTAATGCCATGTATCCACCACTGTTATCATACAGAGACTCATTGCTCTAAAACTCCTCTGTGCTCTGCTTGTTCATCTCTCTTCATCATGCCAACCCCTAGCAACCACTGACCTTTTTACTGTCTCCATTGTTTTGCCTCTTCCAAAATGCTGTATAAGTGGGATCATACAGTATGTAGCCTTTTGCAGATTGTCTACTTGCACTTAGCGATGTCCATTTAAGTTTCCTCTATGTCTTTTCATGACTTGGTAGATCATTTCTATCTGAATAATATTTCATTGTCATGAAATGTTTGTCAAAACCCATAGAATTTACAACACCAAGAATGATCTTTAGTCACTTCAGGTGACAATGACGTGTTAATGGATGCTGACCCACTGTAACAAATGTACCACTGTGGTGCAGGAGGTCATACATGTGGGGACAGGGGATATATGGAAACTCGCTGTACTTTCCACTCAATTTAGCTGTGAATCTAAAACTGTTCTCAAAAAGGTATATTATTTTTAAAGTATTTTTAAATTTTCAAAATTGCATTGGGCTATGTACTTTTCAAATTACTAGACAGAAAAGAGACAAAACATTATCAATAAAACAAAATGTAAAAAGCAATGAAATATAAATAAAATACAGAAAATAAAATAGACAAGAAAATGAAAGGCATAAGATATAAAAGTGGAGCCAAACATACTACTTTTGACTAAACATCATAAAAAAAATTTGAATGAAAGGATTTGCCTATTGCATTATTGATTAGAAACTCAATTATATTAACTCTGATTTGCTATACAACAACTTGCAAATATGTATGCTTAAATTCCAATAAAAATTTCAACAAGAGTATTTTAGAGCATGACAAAATAATTCTAAATTCATCTGGTGAATGAATACATGATAGCAACAATGTTACAAAATAAAACTAAGATATTTAAATTATTACAACTTTTAGAAATTAAACAAATTTGAAATGGCACAATGATAAATATATAAATGGAAGAGATGAGAAAATATAGAAATAGCCTGAGGTGTAAGTATTTACTGGAATAACAAAACAACATTTCAAATCAGTAAAACCAGAATAACTGCCCATTCATAGTGTTAGGATATTGGTTAATGATTAGAGAATATAAAATGATAGTTAGCTCATGATCCCATACCTTATACTGAAGTCAATTCCAATATTAAATTAAAAAAACAAGTAAGAGAAAAGTATATTTTTTCTCTCTCTCTTGGAGAGGAAATCTTCTAAAATTATAGTTTCAAAGAAAAAATGTATAAACTATACAAAATGTAAAATTATTGCATATTACATTGCCATATAAAAAGCAGAAGAAACTGTGGCAAAATTTATAACAAATGCATTATACAAAGGTTAACATTCTCATAGTATGTATAACTTATATGAAATCTATTTTTATTATTATTTGTATTTGGTCTTCCAGCACACCATTTCTTTATTGGCACTCTTAAAATATAGCCCTGTCTCTCTCTACCAACACTGATCGATTCAGAGTGAGGGTGGAGAATCTGAGCCAAGGCAGGCCCCTAGTCCAGAACACAGAGCAGCAGTCAAAAAGGCTATTAGCCAAGTCAGGACAATCAAGTCCTCTCATGAATTGTCTCAAACACCAGTAGGATAGAGATTCAGTCCCCTCTGGACAAATTATGAAACACCTGCTGTAGGAACTGTCATCTTCTGTTTCCAGACACAGAGAAAGCTGATTTGGAAGAATGATGCTGATATGCCAGGAGAAGCAGTCACACATACACACACACATACTCACACACACACTGCAGAACATACCTGCAGTCCTAATTTTTAGAAATTAACCCAGTTTTTAATGAACCTGAATGATAAAATACTCTATTGGCTTTCGAGTAAGTCAAAAAAATATGTATACACATACATATATATAACCCCAAATCCACAAGTAGCACTGTGAAAATCAAAACTCAATCATGCAAATGATTTAATTTTTTTAAAATAAAATAAAATCTCTCTCATTTTACTGAAAAGTATTCACCAGAGTAAATGAAGGAGATTCTTAATCTGGTCAAAAAGGCTTTTTAGGAAAATGTCCCCTTTATGAAACTGCACTTAAGAAACTTCACTTCCATTTTGAAGTATTTCTTTAAGAATTTTTTGGTCTGTGGTTTGTTACGTAGAACTGTCAATACTACCCTGCTACTTTCAAAGGAAACTCTGAATTATTTTCTATATATTATTTCTAAAATCTTGAAGTGGGGGTTAACCCTCATAATCTCTGATGAGGTTATATAAATCAAACACTTAATTTTGTACCAACAAGATTTCTCTTCTGAAGCATGTATACAATCATTGCTAATAATGACTGAAGATACTTATTCCTTAAGAGCTGTATCATTTGCTTTGTCAAGAATTGATATTTAATTGTTATCATAAAGTCATATAAATATAAATTCATATAAAGGGAATCATTTTGAGGATACAGATGTCTGAATGTTCTATCAAAGCACTCCAGTTTTAAATTGTACCTATCAAATGAATCTGTATTTCCATACTCATTCATATGAAAAACATATATTTAACATCACTGCAAATCTTGTGCTTTTAAAGAGTTTTGATAGTAATATTTTTATCACATTTTCTCAAAAATGAGCTAATCACTATTATTATTTCCAGTAAGAAATATAAAATGCATTCCTCATTTTTCTTGATGACTTTGAAACATGAATCTTGGGATATAATCTCTGTGTGAAAAGCATAAAATGAATTGTCTGTCAAATAGCATGCATTTTTCCTGTAATGAAAATTTCATCTATAATAACATCAATCTTCTGTTACCTGATGGGCACTTAAAAGTCAAGCTTTCAAACATGGTTAAGATGTTATTTATCTGAATTTGTGCCAACTTCAGGTGTCACAGAAATTTTGTGTATGTGTGCATACAAAGTACACACACAAAATTTGTATCATCACACTTGTACAAGAGCCTGGGGAGGTGGGTAAACATGTTAAGCTGCTCCAGAACAACAATTTCTTTAATGAGATCTACTGGAAAGTATGACTGCGGAAAATAGACTGTGGTCTACTAGAAAGTGAGATGTGAGTAAGAGATAGCCTAATTCAACTTAGCCATCATTTATTATCTACCTGTGACAATACTGACAGAGAGCCCATAGGATAGAAAATCCAACCTAAGTCTGTGAGGGATGTACTTCTAGATATTAGAGTAAGAAGAGCTGTGTGGCTATTTATAAAATATACATAAATATCTATACCTTTGTCTCCTCACTTGAAATCCTTACAAGGCTACTGTGTATGTTGATTTGAGCTTTCCCATGAGCAAAAATGAATAAATGAATGAATCAATAATAAATAAGATAATAAATAAGTAAATACCCCATAAGAGTGATAACAAACTTCAGTTCACGTGTGCTATACATTTCTCTGAAGCTCATTTGATTACTGTATTTATAATCTAAGTTCTGAACCCTATGATGCCATAGATTTTTTCCAGCACCTGCTAGAACAATTGATTTTGCTGCCAGCATTATGAAGCTACCCATGACGTATAAATATTTCATTCCCATTTGTTCAGAAACCAGATAGGAAATACTTGAACTATTTTTTAACCATCTTAATTCAGACTTTTGTTTCTAGTTGGTCTTTTGCAGCTGTTTTACAATTCAGTTGGAATTTATAACTCTGTACTCATTCTGATAGTTACTGATTTGCTATTCTACTACACATGATGCTAGTCGTCCTGATTCACTCGCTGCCTTATTCGTCTCTGTAGCCTAATTAATGTGAGCTAGAGGGAAGAATCGGTAGCCAACACGAGTCCAGAATACAAATTTGAAAACAGCGTAAATTTTAAAACAGCTCAGAGTATATCTGAAGTTTGTAACAGATACATGTAAACTTCATTCTTATTTTAGCCAATACATCCTATAAATTGGGAGAAAAATTTAAATGTATGGAGAGCAGTAACACTTTCATTTATCAACAGTACAATTAATACGTCAAGAATGCTGTGTATGGCTGTATTTTGCAAAATTTAGGGACATTTGCGTGGAGGGAGGAAATATTTGTAATCACGGAGAGTGCATGTAATGCTGGAGAATAGTAACTGACAAGAGTGAGGGCCTGTATCACCTAGAAATGCTGCCGTCATAGCTATGAGGGAACATGATCAGCTGTGGGCTCCCCCTCAAATTCACTGGGCAACACTCAGTTCACCAACACTGAAACAGTACTTACCCACCCCAATCAGAGGAGAAACTGTATACTTCATTCAGAGTCAGCTGGGTAGGAAGCTCCTGTAAGACAGAGACAATGAATTACCTGACTTTTAAATCTCTAGTGTCTAGTACAATGTCCAGAACACAACATATATTCTGAACAGATACCACACATGGTGTATGTTTCTTTTTCACCAAGGAGCAGAAGTCCTAGAGCTTGGTTAATATGGGGGTGAGCCAGTGCCCAAATCAGCATGAGGACCTCAGCACTATCTTCTAGGCATTTATCACAATGCTCTGACCCCCATTCTTGTTGGCCAAAGTGTGGTCTATGGGTTTGCATTTTAACATGATCCCCAGGTGATCCATGAACACATTCAGGTTGGAGATGGTGCCCTACTGCATATGTGACAGGCTCTCCACTATTCACACTCACAAAGTGGAGTTGCACTTTGAGCATTTAAGCATATGGGCTCTGAAATCAGATAATGTAGGTTAGGTCTTGTCTCTATCTCTTACTAAGTACAGAACTTCAGGGCAAGTAATTTAACTTTGCTGGGCCTCAGTTTTATCTGAACTGGAGGCAGGGGGTACTAATAACTGTCTATACAATGTTTTAACTATGAAATGAAGCAGTGCATGTGATGCTTCTGACATACACAGTTGGCCCTCTGCATCTGTGAGTTCGGCACTCATGGATTCAACCAATGACAGATGGAAAATATTCAGAAAAAATGTTTCAGAAAGTTACAAAAAGTGAAACTTGGATTTGCTGAGCCAACTATTTACATAGCATTTACATTGTATTTACAAATATTTGCATAGCATTTACATCATATTAGGTATTATAAGTAATCTAGAGATAATTTAGAATGTGTGTAGGTTTATGCAAATACTATGCTTTTTTACGTAAGGAACTTGACTGGCCACCTGTAGACTTTGTTATCCGCAGGGGGTCGTGGAATCAATCCCTGTGGATACCCAGGGAGGGCTGTACACATTACACAATAAATATTAGTTATTATAACTTATTTAATGCTACTAAGACTTAATATATGCACAATAATTTTCCTGTGATTACACAGCGTTCCACAATCTCAACTTAAAATCAAGGAATCCTCACCTCTAGCTGTCAATTAACATGATTTACAAGAACCACATGTGTGTATGTATATTACTGATCGTGGGGGGGACAGGAGCGGTTTCTCTCTTTTTCCCTTTCTTTCTTCTCTTTCAACCCACCTGTTTTTTGGTCACTGAACAAAACTTGTGCAGAGGGAAGAGTGGAGGGAAGAAAATGTTCTCTTCACTCATATTTATTCAATTTCTTCCTTCAAACATTCCCAAATCAGTATCATCAGGGCTAAAAGTCTCCCTCATGAAATCATGATTATGATATGCCAGCAAAAGGATAAAATCATTTTTTAAAAGAATCTGTCCTAAAAGAAGCAGGGCTGGGAGATAAAATACGTGCAGATCTGTAGCAGTCAGGTTCCAAATGAAGGACCGTGATGAACGGTAGTGTTGTGAGATGATACTAGAGACCACCTAGCTAGATGGAGGAGAAGTTTAATGCTTTTCTAATACAGTTCACAAAACAGGGAAAATATCATGCTGATGGCTGACTTCAGACATTCAGAATACTCCCGAATACCCAACTCTTCTAAAACCAAGCGCATGAGGGATGTCTGCCCAGCTTTGAGAAGATTTCATTTTTGGTTAGTGGAAACATGAAGGGAACTTCTCTTTCATACTTAATTTAAGCTAATAAGAACTTTTTGTTAAAATATAAATGCTAAATATGTTGGGAGACCTTGGAATTTGCCTAAGTGAGGAAAGATATGTTTAGATACATAACTCAGACCAGAAAGTTGTCTTCAGAAGAAAAGATTTCCATAGTCAGTCAGCTCAAGGCAAATGAGAAGCTATTCAAAAGCATAATATTTACAATTTCAGGTAATTCCAGTGAGAAAAAAAAAAGAAAAGTATGTAAAGAAACCAAAGTGCATCAAGATCTTCCTTTTAAATTAGACTTTGTTACATACAGATGAATATAAACCAAAAAATCAAAGACATATAAAACAAGGGTTAGAATTTTGTAAAAGTGTCTGGAAATCAAAAGCTCTAAAAAGAACTGAGGTTTGTGAAATATGAAGAACAATAAAAAGCTTCCTTAGGTCTTAAGCAACAAAAATCCTTGGCCCAATGTAATTTATAATCTTGTTTGTGGGAGGACAATACGTAATTGTTTTAGTTAGCTCAGGCTGCTATAACAAGACACCATAAACTCTCATCTCGACATGTATTACTGTTACTAAATGTATCATATTCATTTCCTTTTGTTAAAATTTCATGCTTCCTCAAATGATCTGAGACTAAACTCTTTATAGTGTGTTCTTGAAAATTACTAGGCACAGCCCTACCAATTGTTCTGTGTTCTGCAAAGTAGGTGTAAGATTTTTACAAAGTGACTTTGGTGGGATCGAGAGGTTCTTGTCTTGTCACAGAAAGAATTCAGATACAAGACGCGGAGAGGAAGAAAGCAAAGCAAGGATTTATTAAGGGATAGGCAGTATGCTCTTAAGCAAAGAGCAGGCAGATGTCCCCCTTTCTCTGCTCCTATCTAGCTACCTGCCTGCTCTAACAACTTCTTCACAATAGAATGTATCTCTAACTCTTGCCATATATTTATCATTTTATAAATACTCAAAGTTCATGTCCAGATAACCAAATTTTGCTATTTGACATCTTCTACATAGACAGTTGCTTAATCCAAATCTATTCTTTATCATTTTCACTCTCATAAACTTAAACTTGAAATGAGATTAAAATACCACTTGTTTTGTCAAATTCTTTAGTTCTCATTTCAAAACATCAAAAATGTGGAGAAAAAAATCAGAGGGAAGTCAGCATCATGTAAATACATTAAAAAAGGGGATACAAGTATAACATTTTTAGCAATTGCTCAAAAACTACAATACTATTTTGGAATTCAATGCAGCTATAATACTGTAACTAATTACAGTCTTGAAACCATTTAGAGATGCGCATGCAATTTAGACTAAATGATGATAAAACTATCAAACATAGGAGGAAACTAATTCTGGAATGTAGGGTGTAAAGCTAATAGTTCAGCAATTTGCTTCAAAGAATAACAAAGCAAAGATCATCATTTATAAAAGTTGTCTGTTAAAGACATGCTTGGATCTCTCAATTGTTAAACAGCAAATGATGAAATGGCAGAGCTTTAAAGTTCTATCTACCAATGTTCGCCTCAACTCCCAAAGATCTTTCAGTTTTCAACTCTAGTCTCTCAAATACATGGCTTATTTCATCTTATTCAGAATTCAGCAAGCTATCAAACTATTAAACATTTTGTTCTGCTTTTCTGAATTGAATGTATTGGCTTAATTAGCTTGATAAGCATTTTTCAGATTCATAATTTCTGGAAAGGATCAGACATTTGTCTACTCTACCAAAACGTGTATCTTTCCTAAACACATACTGCATTTTGACAGTTATATATGGTGGGAATGAAGGGAAAAGACTCATGGGTGACTTTGAAAGGCTACTCAAAACCACTTACACTATTTAATTTCTGAGCCAGTTAGACATCGCATGCTTCATGAGTTCCTCAATGTTTTCCTGGTGACTAATAAACCTCTCTTTGCCTGATACATACTGTGAGCCTCAAAAGTACACAGAGACTAGAATCCTTTTGCTACCAAACATATTGGAAACCCAAAGACATTACTAGACTTGGTGGTTTTATGTGTTTTATCAGCCAATGACATCATGACAGATGAGAACATTCTGCCAAGAAAAGTCAAAATCTCTAACATTAAGGATTTCGTAGACAAATCACATGTACTAAATGTCATTTAATCTATACAATGATTTGAATGTAATCCAGACCCAGTGAGGGGAAAAGAAATCCTCAATCACCAAGCTTATTATAGCAAGACACGTGGTTCAGAGCAAAACAGTCAGGATTTGCAAACTGTTAAAAGTTAAATAAAATAGTTTGATATCTACAAAAAGAGATACTTTTTTTGTTTGTTTTTTCAGTACTATCTCATTTGATAAAGCATCAAACTGGGAAAAAAGACCAAAACCTCTAAATAGTACCTCTGTTTTAATGTTCTTTTATCTGTGAATCACAAAAGTAATATAGCAATAAGTAAATGAGTTGAATGATGTATGCAGAGAACAGAACATTCTACCAAACTGCTTCTTTTAGAGATAAAAACTCTTTAAGTGTGTCCAAGGGGAGATTAAAGCAAGTGAGCAGAGTTCCTGCATGACAAATGGGCATTATATTTCCCAAGGAAGCGCTTTTTATCAAGCCTACTCATTTAGATAAAGTATAATCAAACAAATATAAACCCAAAATGCAACTCACAATTTTTCTGTTAACACCAAGTTAATCTTTAAAGAATCATATCCAAAAAATTCTTTAAAAGTCATACATTGTGGACAACTGCCTAAGAGACCAATGACCCAATCCTCACAAACTGGGCTTAATAAAACAGACAGGCCATGATTGGGTTATTTATTTATGAGACACGGTGGAGCAGCTGCATGGTGCGTACCACCTCCTAAATGGGTTCCGCCTCTAGCAGTTGTCTACAGCAGATGGAAAAGTGACAAGCTCCACTTAATATGTCCCAGCATCAGAATGGTCATAAAAGAGTCCCCAGCAATTCTCTTTTGAACAGCAGCCACCTGTTTACTATAAACACACCTTTATTTCTCAAACCACAATTTTAATTTGCAACTTGCACCTGAAAGGTTGCACACCTTTGGGTACAAAACTGCCAGGGTGCAAGCCAGTCATGAGTGAAGAGTTCAAATCTCTGGTAGAATCTGAAGAGTTTAAAAACTGTAAAGTGTTCAAAGCTTGCTTCTAAATGATCCAATCCACCTTCATTTAGAAAAGTGTTTTATCGTAATTATAATTTCATTTGGCAATTTATTTGGCTCTTGCTTTATTCTAGAACTATGCTTATTAGAAACAGACTCAGTACCCCTTTGGTTATTAGAAACAGACTCATTATGCCCACTACATACTTTAGTAG